CGCGCCCCTCCGCGCCCGCCCCCGGCTCCGGCCGGCGGCTCGGCCCGGGCTCAGCGCGCTCAGCCTCCTCCTCCTCCTGGGCCTCGGCCGCCGCCGCCCGCTCCGCGCCTCCTCGGCCACCCTTCTCGCTCTCCGGCGCTCGCAGTCTCTCCCTCGCCCTGTCTCTCTCTCCCTCCTCCTCTCCCTCCGCCCTCTCCCCTCCCTCCGGGAGCCGGCAGAGGAGACATCGCCCCTCCCCGCGCCCCCAAACCTCGCCCATCCCCCCAGCCTGCCACCGGCTCCGCCCCCTCCCCTGCCCTCCCCCCCTCTCCTGGGCCAGGTCCTCTACCCCTGCTTGACCCCTACCCCAGAGATGCGGCCCCACCCCTTAGGGTGCCCCACACACCTCAGGACTCCTCTGCCTAGAGTGCACCCACCCCCTCTACACACAGTGGGGTGCAAGAAACATTTTTTGCCAGATTCCATCCCCAGTGTGACATGGGAGCTGTAAATTCCGGTCTCGCACCCCGCAACATGAAGGATGGATGGACGGACACACACACACACACACCCCTAAGCACAGGGCAGGGCACAGGGCACCTGAGACAGGCACACTTCCCCCCCACACACACAGGTGCAGTCATCAAGCTGACAGGACACCTGCAGAACCCCCTCCACATGCACCACATCCTTTGGGGTGCATGACCACAAACACGCCTTGCCACACCACACCCCTGCACCAGACATGCAAGCAGCTCTGGGCAAGATTCACCGCCTCACACTGGGCACACACCTGGATGTGCACGCTCCGCTCTCACCCTGTCTGGCACACCCATCGCACTGCCCACCCCCTCAGGTGCACACACCTGCTCAGCATTGCAACACGGTGTCACGGCTCCCCTCAGGATCAGCATTGCTGACATTTCTTCCTGAACTCGTGCTGTGTGCCAGGCTCAGAGACTTGCACTGTCCCTGTGTTTCCAAGGAGAAAACAGGCACAGAGAGGCTCAGTAACATGTCCAAGGTCACCCAGCTATACAGAGCTGATGTCCAGGACCAGCATCAGGGAGGCTGGCTCCAGAGCCTTCAGGGAGCCGCCCTTGTGAGGTACGGACAACCGCCATAGTCACACTCTCCCATTACACACAGTCCTATCCAGCCCCCTCTGAGTTCACACACGCATGGAACACACTCAGAAAGCAGGCAGCAGTGTGTCCCCTGAGTCTGGACTCCACCTTGTGGAGCTCCTGTAGGTCACCAGTGAACACTGGCCCCTGTGGTGGGAAATTGGGCAGCCTCGGGGTGTGCCTCCAGCTGCAGGCTCCCCAGCTCCTGTCTGAGCTGGAGCAGGTGCCTGCCCAGCCGGGGGAGCCCCTAACTTGGTGCACACCCACCGGCCCAGGTGGTGAGCAGCTGGGCCCGGGAGAGAACAGCTGCCTCTGCTGGTGCCAGCAGCAAGATGCTGTGTACCCCTCTGCAGAGTACAAGGCCTTTCTGCACCTCCGCCTCCTCTCTCTAGGCCTCTAGTGCCAGACTTTGGATGCCCAGGCTCCAAGGCAGTGATCAGCCCGCCCAAGGTCACACTGCCCTCAGTGTACCAGGCTTCCTTAGAAAACAGAAGAGTGGATGTGTAGCTTTCCAAGGCCCCTCCTGGGACTCTCAGCAGCTGAGGGCAGATGCCTTGCTTCTGCATGGGGCCAGAAACCTTGGCCAGCTGCCCCTACAATGGTGACCTCCAGAGCCTCGATTTCCTCCTTTGAAGAGTGAGCCCCTTGATCCCTGGTTAATGAGCTCTATGCTCCTTGGCACAACCAGACAGGTTGCAACTGGAAGAGCCCTGTGTGACTCACAGGCCTGGCATAGAGTGGGCATGGCACGCCCTCAGCTTCCTCTGCCTCTCAGCCTCTCCCACCACCTCCCCAACCTTCGGCCACCCCCTGGGGAACTCAGAGTGAAACCTCCAAGCCACTCCAAGCCAAATGCGAGCCTCCAGGCCTTTGATGGAATCATTAGCCACCCGGAAGGGCTACCTCAGTGTTCACTGGGTGGACTGACTGAAGACCTACTGTGTGCTAGGCAGGCTCCTGGGACACAGCAAGGCACAAGAATCCCTGCCTTCATTGGCAGAAGGCGGACATAAACAAAGACCATGCCAGTCTCTACTATAACAGAAAGATAAAAGGGGGCATTTTCAGAAATTGACTTGCGGAATGGACGCCTTCTCTAGAAGGCGGTCAGGGAAGGCTTCTTGGAGCTGAGACTCTGGCTGTGAAGAAGCTGGGGGAAGAGCCTTCCAGAAGGACAAGGACAGCAGAGGTGCTGGGGTGGGGAAGGGTGAGGAGGCCAGTAGGCTGGAACCTGGGGCGGGGCAGGGGTGATGGGCTGGGGTGACCCGTTCCCCTCTGGGCAGGCTGTGCTGAGGACCGAGGCCGGCCGGGCTTTGGCATCTCTCCGGTTTATTATGATGGGAAGGTGGGGGAGCAGGGGAGTGGGGAGGGATGTGGTCTGATTTATGGTTTGGAAGGATCGCTCTGGCTGCGGCAAGCATCGGGGATTGGAGGGGCTCGGGCAGAGGGAGGGAGGGCAGGGAGGGGGCGACTGCAGTGGTCCAGGCGCTGGGAGGAGGGGCGCTGCAACGCTCAGCGCTCTCTACCTCTGCTCTCCACACACCCAGCTCAGCCTCTGCCTACTCCGCCTCCTGGGGCCACCCTCCTCCCTCTCCCGACCCCCTGCCTGGCCCCCTCACTTGGGGCCTTAGCTGCCTGTGGCACTGAGAGCAGCTGAAGTCCCCAGTGTCACCCTGCCGAGGGCCTGGCCTGCAGGAGGCTTCCAGTAAAGTGGGCCCACTGAATCCGGGAGCCCCACCTTCGGGGCTGTGTACACAGCCACATGCACGCCCCTCACACACATGTCTGCCCAGACGTGCACACAGGGCCTGGGAGGTCAAGGTGGGCCCTGGAGGGGCTGGAGCACTCCGGAGCTAAGGACAGTGGAGGTGGCTCCTCCCTGGGGGTGTGTGGCCTCTGAAGGCTTCAGGGTAATAACCACCCTGAGGAGACCCTGAGGTCGGCCCCTCTGCCCCTCGAAGGCCAGGAGGGAAGGGAGAGGCGGGAGTCCCAGCATCCCACCTTTGTCTGCTTGGTCCCAGGGGGTTCTGGGATCAAGGCTGGGGACTGTGGTCCCCAGGATCCCTCAGAGAACCAGTTCCATCCTCTTCCTGGCCGTTTGAGCTCTTGGCAGGGCAGAAGACAGAATAGGGCGGAAGCGCGCTCTGGAAAGTGGGAAGAGTGGGTGTGGGGAGACCCAAGGCGGGATTCAGGCTTTGGAACGTTGGAGGTTTCCGGCCACAGAGCCAAGGCCTCCGGGGAGCCAAAGGGGCGGGGAGCCACACACACACACACACAGAGGACCGGCGGGCTGGAGCGCGGGAGGGGAGGCACAGAAGAGAGACAGAGGCGGGAACCAGGGGCGAGTGATCGGTACCAGCCTGGGACACTCGCCAGTCCCCGAGATCCCAGCCCCACCTGGCATTCTGACACCTGAGACCTTGGGTTGCCAGAGCCCGGCCTGATGCAGGCAGCATGGGTTTTCGGGGCCCTGGTGGTCCCCCAGCTCTTGGGCTTTGCCCACGGTGCGCAGGGAACAGAGAGGGAGTGGGAGGGGGGCTGGGGCGGCGCCCTGGAGGAGGAGCAGGCGAGGGAGGCCCTGATGCTGAAGGTGAGCCACGGACCTGGAGCGGGGAGACTCTGGCCGGGGAGGGGGGCATTTCAGAAGGGTTAGGGAAATGGACCCAGGGTAGAGATGCTGACGGGCCAGAGGACGGGGCTGAGGGGCTCAGAGAAGGGATTTGGGCTGGAGAGGGGAGGGCGGGCCATGAGGAGTCCGGATGGACTGAGCATGCCTCCCTGGGCAGCATCTGCAGGAGGCCCTGGGACTGGAGGCTGCCAGGGGGGGAGAGAATCCTGCCCGAACTTTTGAAGCCAAAGGGGCCTGGGCAACTGAGGAGGACCAGGGGGAAGAAGAGGAGGAAGCAATCCCAACTGCCTCCCCCAGCCCCAGCCCCTCTCCCACGCCCGAGGACCCCATCACTTATATCTGTGAGTAGCCTGCCGCCCTGGGTCTTTCAGTGGCTCATGGCCAGCCCGGAGCCCCCACACCCCCAGGATTCCCGGCCCTGGACCTCTCCTCCCAGGAGCTCAGGGCACTGGACCCTTTCTTCCACAAGTTCCAGTCCCTCCACCAATTCCGCCCTCTGGAGCCCCAGGTCCCTCGTTCCTCCCGGCTCTCGGGGCCCTCCCTGCGCCCCCACGCTCCCCCTGCAGTGCTCCCCCTGTCCGCCCGTCCACCCGCAGTGGGCCGCCTCGCCGGCCTGGACGCAGGCCTGCACCAGCTGCACGTCCGTCTGCACGCGTTGGACACCCGCGTGGTCCAGCTGACCCAGGGGCTGCGGCAGCTGCGGGAGGCGGCGCGCGACACCCGCGACACCGTGGAAGCCCTACAGGAGGCGCAGGGCCGCGCAGAGCGCCTGCACGGCCGCCTGGAGGGTGAGTCCGTGCCACCGGGGCACATAGGGGACTGGGGGAAGTGGGGACCCTGGGCGAGAGGGCCCCCGAGAATCTCAGAGTAGCAGGCTGGGTGGTTAGAGTAGCTGGAATGCGCGGTGGCGAGACTCTCTTACCCGCACAGCCAAGCTGAACCTACTCGGGCGGCGCCACGCCCCCTGAGGCCCCGCCCCAACCGCCTGGCCCCGCCCTACTGCGGGCCGCTTTTCTGACCCGCCCGCCTTCCAGCCCTCCCGGGGAGACTCTGGGCCCGCCCCTTCCCCCGCCCCTGAATGCTCTGACCCCGCCCCTTCGCGCCCTGCTACCCCTCTCGTAGGCTGCCTGAAGGGGCTTCGCCTGGGCCACAAGTGCTTCCTGCTCTCGCGAGACTTCGAGGTTCAGGCGGCGGCGCAGGCGCGGTGCGCGGCGCGGGGCGGGAGCTTGGCGCAACCGGCCGATCGCCAGCAGATGGAGGCTCTCACCCGCTACCTGCGCGCGGCGCTCGCTCCCTACAACTGGCCGGTGTGGCTGGGCGTGCACGACCGGCGCGCGGAGGGGCTCTACCTCTTCGAGAACGGCCAGCGCGTGTCCTTCTTCGCCTGGCACCGCGCGCCCAGCCCCGAGCCAGGCTCCCACCCCAGCTCCGCGCCGCACCCGCTCAGCCCCAACCAGCCCAACGGCGGCGCGCTGGAGAACTGCGTGGCGCAGGCCTCGGACGACGGCTCCTGGTGGGACCACGACTGCGAGCGGCGCCTCTACTACGTCTGCGAGTTCCCCTTCTAGCGGGCGGCCTCTGCCTGCTCCGTGCACCTTCCATAGCGCCCCTCTCCCAGGCCCGCCGTGGGAGTGCACCCCGTCCCCGCCTGGCTGGGCGCTCCTGTGAGGGTCTGGCGGGACCAGGACCCCTTCCATGCTCCTGCCTTTCTTGGAGCCCCAGAATTAGAATGATGAAGGACACATGCACACTCTGTTCTGCACTCTGTCCTAAATACACTCTGCACGCCCTGTGGATGTCTCCCCCCATCATGCGCCTTCCGGCTGCCCCTGTGACCCGGGTCCTGTCAGTCATCGCAATGCTCTGCCGATACTGCAGGAAAGAACCCATTTCATTTTGCGCTGTGTTAATTAGTGTGTCACAAACTTTTTTCCCAGATAGTACCATCCCATCGGGCTCTGCTGGGAGAGGAGATACACTTCCTATTTTTCCCCTCTCCAAACCTCCCGGGGCAAGTGTTCAGACACAAATGAAGGGCTTTCCCAACCCTGAAGCTCGGGCTCCCATTGTTCCCTCCTCTACTTACTGCCTATGAAGTCATGAGTCTGTTGCTTCCCTTCTCTGAGCTTCAGTTTCCTCACGAACATGGGCACAATTGCCCTGACTTTATACAGCTCTAGGGATGTTCAAGTGAAGCCAGGGGAAATGAACATTTTCAAAGTGCTTGAACATTAGCCACACACTTCCTCCCTTCCTCACCATTGTTCATACTTGTATTGTTTGGGGGTCAGTGAAGATAACCAGGGGTTACCAGCCTGGGCCTCAGCACTTTGACAGGACCCTTTGAGGGGAGGGGCTCTTCCTAGTGCCCCTGCCAACATCGGCATCACAGGCCTCACCTTGATAGGTCATGGAGTCCAGGGATGGGGAGGTGACCCTGACCGTTCTTAAGTCTCTACCCCGGTCCCCCCTTCAGCCGTACAAGCCACCCCTGGCATCTCCAGAAGAGAATAATACTTCTTTTACTTACACAGTCACTTCTCTGCCTTGTAGCTACACAGGATATGCAGAATGGGTGTGGGGGGAGTGCCCTGGGATCAGGAGGCTTTGATCCAGGACACTGAGACATCAGACTGACACTGATAAGTACCACCATGACCAGTGAGCCCAAGGCCCTCGTGGTGCATCCATTCCAGAAAGTGTGTAAATGAAGTTATGCAATGGTTACCTGCTGCATTCAGAGCCAGATGGCCCAGGTTCTAATCCTATCTCAGCCACATACCTGCTGGGCAAACTTGATCAGGCTTACCTTTGCTGGGCCCTAAGTGTCCTGATGTGTACAAGGAGGAGAATAATATCTACCTCCTAAAATGGTAGAGGGGCTGGGCCTGGTGGCGCATGCCTGTGACTCCAGCAGTCAGGAGCCTGAGGCAGAAGGATCACCACAAGTTTGAGGCCAGCCTAGACTACATGATGAGTTCAAGGCCAGCTTAGAATACAGAGTGAGACCCTGTCTTAACCTGCCTCGCCCCCGAAGTGGTAGAGAGGTCTTTGCAATACCCAGATCTGACTCTCACTGGGGCACCTGACCTTCACCCCATTGTTCTTTCCAGGCCTCCCCCTTCCCTGTAGAGTGAACACCCAACTCAAAGACCCACCCTTCGGGGGTTGAGGGCTGCCTTAGGTACTCCCACATCTCCTTGCCCAGCCCTGATCAGCCAGGCTGGGCAAACCTGGGGATAGGGTGGGGGGTAGGGCTGGGAATGACCAACTGCGTCCCCAGTGCCAGCTGGCACATGGAGCCCACTGAGTGCAGATGCATGTGTGAGGCAATGTGGAGACACTGAGGTGAGGCAGAGCTCTGCTCCTTTGCTCCCTGGCCCACTCCAGGGAGGCCAGGTCTGTATCTCCTCCGGTATCCACAGGGCCTCCTTGACAGGGCGAGCACCTGGCACCAGCCCAGGGGCAGAGCTGTAGGCTGGAAGAGCCAACCTAGGTGGGGAGTGGAGAACATCTGAGAGGATGTTTATCCATCTGAGCAGCTCGTGATACACAGGATTTGGGGCTGGTTCTTGACTCAAGGCAACACGTGGGAAACCTGCCCCCTCCGCCAGGAAGCCCTCCCAGGCTTCCCTCCCTGTCTCTCCACAGAGCGCCTGCGGTTTTCGAGGCCAGAGCCACACACCATAGGAGGCCACAGCAGCTGACTGGGATCGGTGACTTAAGGAATTCCGCCTTAGTACTACAAGAAGAGTGCAAGGCCTGATTACCCACCCAGAGCCTAAAGAAGCAGAGACTGCAAGGTCTCACGAGACTACAAGTCCCAGGAGACCCAGTGCGGACCCTCGTTTCCCAGCAGTCGTTGGGCTTCTGGTGCAGGTCCTTTCGCAAACGCTGCCACCTCCATCCACTTGAGGCTCGCCTGCATTTCCCAGCAAGCTAATAACCACGCCCCTGGCAATGAGATCAGAGCTCTCAATGCCCAATCACAGCCCAGACGACTCCTCCCCCACGCCCCCCTGGCCCATCACCAGGTGCTTTGGGAAATGTAGTCCAGAACCTCGTCCACGAGTAGGAAAACGGAACTGTAGAGGGTAGGTGTCTTACAGACGGTCTAGGGTTATTTATTTATTTATTTATTTATTTATTTATTTATTTATTTGGTACCGGGGATCGAACTCGGGTCCTTGCGCTTTCGCAGGGTCGAGCGTCTTTTAAAGAAGATTTCAAAGCAAAGTACAAGTGATTTCAGAGGGCAGATCATAATTTTTTTTCCCGGTACCGGAATCAAACTCAGGATCTTGTGCTTGCCAGGCAGGTGCAGTGCCACCACATCCCCAGCCCTCATAACCATTAAAAAAAAAAAAGAATTCAATAAAATATCAATATGCATAAATGATGGTATGGAATATTTCTCTAAATGTAGATGCCTAAGTATGAGCTGAATTGCAATGTAAAATACAACATAGAAGTTCTTCCTTTGCCTGGAAAATATTTGCTAGACAAGATATTTGCTACACACAATATTTCCCATGCCAACTTAGTTTTTTAAAAAACAAAAAACAGGGCTGGGGATTTAGCTCAGTGGTTCTGCCGCCTGCCTCAAAAGTGCAAGGGCCCCAGTTTGATCCCTGGTACCGAAAAAAAAAAAGAAAAGAAACGAAAGACAAGCTATTTATTTGGAAATAATTTCAAATTTACTGACAATCTGCTTAAATACAAATAATACAAATTCTTTTTTTTTTGGACTAGCTATGTAGCCCAGGCTGGCCTCGAACATGCAGTGATCCTCCTGCCTCAGCCTTCTGAGTGCTGGGATCACAGATGTGCACCACCAAGCCAGCCACAAATACTCTTTATTCAGATTTTTTGTTAGCTATTTACCCCACTGCTTTAGCTCTATCATTCTCCATCCTCCCACTCTCCCTAGTCACCAGAGACAAAGCCAGGTTTGTTGTTGCACTGCAGTGAGGAAAGACCCGTGATGGGGCTATAGGATTTAGAGGAAACCAGCAATTTGGGTAAAATATAAATGAAACGGTATTTTGACAGGTTCAGTGTAAACAGGGATGGATACAAGCGAGTCGGCGTCAGGTCTGAACTGCAAAGTGGACCCAGAGTCTTGTCACTGGACGCTACAATGTTGATATCAGTGTGGCTCATGGTGCCTAGAAACTGACCCCAGGGCCTCCACCCTGAGCTACATCCTCAGCTCTTCTTATTTATCTATTTATTTATTTATTCTTTAAAAAAAAATTTTTTTTTTTTGAGACAGGGTCTTGTTAAGTTGCCCAGACCGGTCTCAAACTGGTATCCCCCTGCCTCAGCCTCCTCAACAAGTGGGATTACAGGTATGTGTCATCGAGCCGGGATCAGAAACTATTTGAAGCTATACAGTGGCTGGAAATAGAAGTTCCTTGTCTGTGTCCAAGGGGCTGCAATCTTCCAGGCAAGAAGCAGTAAGTCTGCTTTTTCCTGATCCTCCATTCTTACGGGAGCACCCACCCTCTTGTACTGGGGATTGAACCCAGGGCTTTGGCACTGAACAATATTCCCAACCCTTTTTTTTTGGTACTGGGGATTGAACTCTGGACCTTGCGCTTGTGAGGCAGGCGGCAGAACCACTGAGTTAAATCCCGGGCCCTTCCCAGCACTTTTATAATACATTTTTCTTTAATTTTGAGATAGGGTCTGGCTAAGTTGCTTAGCCTGCCTCTGCCCTTCTGGATACACTTTCACATGGCAACAGTGTTGCAGTCTATAATTTAGAAAGCCAAGTGTCTAGGTGGTGAGGTAACAGTAGTCACTCAAAGCAGGGTGAGGATAGTTTATAGCTGCAGCACATCCCTGGGGGCAGTGTTTCTGTTAACTGGCAGCTGGCTTTATCTGTCCCAGTAGTGGGACCGCGGAGCAGGTTTTATGGTAGTTTGAGCTCCTCAATACAATAGACACATAGGTCTTCTGAAGCATGTAAAGGTTAATCACACACCTTATGGCCCTCTGCCCTTAAATTCTTTAGTGTATATTTCCAAAGACTGGAGATGTTCCCTTGCATAACTACAGTAACCAACCTCGGCAGATGGAACACTGAAGCAACCATTTTATCGAATCTACTGCTCTCCTTTCGTTAGTTGACTCGATGAGTTCTGCATTAGTCTTTACCCCTCCAGCTCGGGATGTGGCTGGGGGTCCGTTATGGCGTTTAGTTCTTGTGTCTCTTTAGCTGCCTTTTAAAAAAAAATTATATTTTTAATTGAAACAGTCATTGTACATATTTATGTCTTTAGCTGCCTTTAATCTGAAACATTTCTGTGTTTATGACAGTGACATTTGGGAAGGACAGGCCTTCCCCCTTAAGTAACAGAAGCTCCTAGGGTCAGGGATTTAGCTCAGTGGTTCTGACGCCTGCCTCGAAAGCACAAGGTCCAGAGTTCGAGCCCAATACCAAAAAAAGAAAAAAGAAAAAGAAACAGAAGCTCCTCGTCTGTGTGGGCCTGATGTTTCTTGGTGAGGATGAATGTCAGGTTGTCCCATCTCCAGGAAGGAGGCTGTGGGCAATCCCAGCCCATCCGACGCAATCAGTGTCCGACAGTTCCTTATGGTCTCGTTGGTGTCCACACCCAGCTGACTCCTCGTCCAACTCCTTCATTATTTAACTGCTGTTTTTTCCCTTCTTTTGCAAGTCATAAGCCATCTCTGGCAGACACTTTAGGACCAGGTCAGTATCTGTTTCCTTATCCCAGCTTCCCCCCGGATTGACCGTCCATCCCTGCATTCCCACAGGGCCAGGTTTA